AGGTGAGTAAAAACGGCCTTTCACGCCTTTGATTTGGTGGTAAAGGTTTATTCACAGATGATCTTTGATTTACGTCACAGATCGTCAAAAGCGTGCAAAGGCGACCTTTACAAAACCTTTAACAACACATTTGACGTGCGGTAAAGGCGATTTTTCGTGCCGTGTATGTATTTCGGGGGTTGACCCGAGCTGCACAAAACCTGGCAAAAAATACAAAAGGTGGTTATGTATGAAGTTCAATACAACCGCTAGCGAATATCAAAAAAAGAAATTATAAAGAGCAACTTGTACAAAAGTACAAGGTTCAATCTTAAATGAATAACTAACCAAGGAAATTATAGAAACGCAGCTAAAGCAAAATTCGATAGGCACAAAGTTCAGTTTGAATAAAATTTTAGTGAGAGCAAGAAACTTGAATACACTGTACTGTTGGCTTTTAGTAAAGGTTTCAAAATCTTAACATATGGTTAAGCTCACTGAAAAACGGTAAATCTTCTCCTTACAGAATAAGCGGTCAAGTTTTAAGTTTCAATCATTCCGTCTAAAATAACAGCAAATTCAAACACTAGGAAATAGAATATGGCAGAAGCATTTAACAATGCGCAACCGATCCTCGTAAATCAACCGATCCAAGGTATTTTTCCCTCGACCTGCGGGTCAAACTTTTGAATATGTCTTTGTATCGTGTTCGTGTCCGAACCTATCCAAGTTGGTCGCAATATTTAGTTGTCGCAACTGTCCGAGGGGAAAATACCCGTGTAAGTACGTACAGTCACGAATAGACAATAACGTGCAGGTGTTGTTAAGGGAGAAATCCGTACATAAACAATGAAACACCGGTATCCATCATACTTCTTTCAATAGAAGACAAGTTTGTACATTTTAGCTATAAATGATTCATGGTATATCCTACCAGCGAAATTCGCAATTGCCTGGAACTGTTCAGTACGCCAATGTTTCTTAAAACGTCCTCAGGCTAAATATGTAACGACAACGTTCGATTCCAAATGAAAAAAAAAAAAAAAAAAAAAAACGAAAAATTAGCCGTCGTTGTTCGCGTTCCTCAGACTACGCAGGGCCTAGTCATTTCACATTGTTGTTCAGCAAAGGATAGCAAAGAAACGTACAAAGATTTAGAACGCACGTGCACAGCTATTGTTGCTCATAAAACCTTTTGTTTGGTGACGTTCTCGTTGCCGCCGTCGTCGGGGTTTGCTTTAGTCTCCTCCGCAGCCGTTTTTTGGGATGTCACGCAACGCTCCCCCCAAAGAACCAAGAAACGGCTGCTCACATCCGAACATTCTTTTCCTTTTGTGTTTGTGATTTGTTTGCGCTCTGTTGAATAGACCAATCACATAATAGCAATTATATAATAACCCAAGTTATTCTCGCATTTTGATTGGTTCTCGCCTATGATCTATTAGAGGACAGACGCACGATTGACGTCATCATTTCAAAGTTTTTCCCTCTGTTTTAAGGTGGCTCAAAAGAGTTTCCAGCACTTATATTTGGATGGGTCGTTATAACCACTCTTTATCACTTGATGCTACAATCATGGTATCAATAAGCTGCACAATCATTAGTGAAGACGTTGTTATCATTTTCGTGGCACAATAGGTTACCATAGCAACAGTATGACCTAAAAACACCCTTAATTACTGCTTTAGGGGCTTATAATTCAAAAACGGCACGATGAATTTTTTTTATATTATCAACTCTTGATAAGCATGATAAGACGCAACTTTTGGCAAAGTTTTAAAAAATTCTGTACATGGGGTTCAGAGCCACCTTAAATTTTCGAAAAATTAAGGTGGCTCTAAACCCTGATTTCTATTATTCCTAGATTCCCTGAATCACGCAACTTAAAATTAGGATAAACTGTCACACAATTAAATTGGAACTTTCATGACATAATGTAGTGTTATGACGACCTTGACCGGCTGTCGGTCAATTAGCCTCAGCAATTTTATAATACTTTTAATTCTGAACTTATGAGTTTAATAGCATCACAGAAAAACACACGAAGCGTCAGGCTTGTTTTGTGAGTTGGTTTGCTGGTTACTATTTATAGATCAAAACGCATTTTTAAAAGATTCTATAATTTTTCACCTTTTGAATATGTACCCGTTACTCGCTCTCTCCTTGCTCCGTTACTCTGGTTAATAACACCCGTTGTCAACGTCGATGTACGGTAGACAAAACTGTCGTGGATGCACATTTTAAAACACTACAAATTAAAGCAAGCAAAGCGATGCAAATAGTTTTGTGATTATCTTAAACTTTATTAAACTCCACACATGATTCAAGATCACACAAAGGACCCACAAGGAAGTCTTGCGTTACAACATATCCAGATTTGGTAACTGAATCACAATAATGGGGAAAATATGGCGCGTTTTCAAGGTCAAAATTAAAAACTAACTTTTCCACCTTTTCTTACTTGCTAAATAAAATGTCACTCATTTCCTGTCTTTGAAATTAGACAGTGCACATCTCTTTTGACCTCCGAAACAATACATTTCGCGTTTCCTGAATACTAAAATCATAACATCCGGCATATTTTGACCTTTGAACAAAA